TTTCAACTTAGTATTATACAGTATATAACAAAAGTTCCTGGACTCTGAGTGTAAATATTTATTATAGTGGAATCTTTGTCCTCCTTAGGATTTAGACTTGACTTCCTTTGATTTTTCTTTGTAGGATTACCTGAATGAGAGTCTACAAGAACAGTCCTTGAACTCTTGGTGATTTAAAACATAATACGGAAGATATAGTTAAGAAAACTCTGAAACAATTGACACTTCCAATTCAGTGGAAACTTCCAACATGTGCTGTGAAAGAGCCTTTCTCATGTATACTAATTCAAACATATTTGTTTAAAATAAGTCAAATGTCTAAAATATCAAAAATTTTTAAAAAGTGTTAGTACGTAAATCAGACATTTTTACAATCTACATCCAGGAACTTTGGTTACATACTGTATTATACATAATTTTTGTTACATATTACAATTGTAAAAACCATAATAGAAATATTGTAGAAAAGAATTAAGTGAAAAAGACTACTATCATTTATATTTATAAAGTAAATAATAAACCTCAAAAATAAAATAGGCAAGAGTAATATATATTTTTAAATTAAAAACAAAATATGCATCATATATTTTTCCATTGCTTTAATTAAAATATTACCATTTATAACATGTTAGCACATTTGCAAAGTTTGTTAACGCTTCACAGGTATTCTTCCACGAAATATTCATTTTCAATTTTTGTAGAATGATGTATCATGTATAAAAATGTTTGTACACTGAGGTGTACCGAACTCTGCCGAATCTCTAAAACTAAACAAACACACAATAGCGATGGTCCTATGTGAAATGATGTACGATGCGCGAAAATTATTCTGACACCAGCCGTCCAAGAGTTCGCAAGTGCGATATTTATTTGATATCGGTAAATTGATAACTAACATACCGACACCGATATTCTAATTCATATTATCACAGACGTGATATAGAATAGATCTATCACTACAAACGAAGTACAGACGTGGTTTATACTCTCTGAGAATCGTAAAAAAAGCTTATAGTGAAAACACAAAAAGGTTACGTAAGTAGTTCTATTATTCGTAACGTCAGGTAATGAAGTTCTAATAATTTTATTACAAATTTTGTTAATATTCAATACATGTATATTATAACAAATTTATTATTTTAACACTTTACCGACCGGTAGTCTATTAATCGGCTTTTTGCCGCCAACGCTTACCGACCGGTAGCCTATTAATCCATTTTTTTTCGCCGACGCTTACCGACCGATAACCTATTAACCGGTCAAAGTTTGATTTAACATTTCTACAGGTATAAGGAAAAGCACGTATATTCCCGCGCAATAACCTAAAGTCTAAACAGAGCCGGTGTCACCGATGCATCTGTGGCCGAGTGACCGGTCGAAAGTGCGTAGAATGTTCAACCGCTACCGGTCGGTAAAGTGTTAATATAGTTTAAAATTTAACACTTCAGAAAAACATGTCATATGCGCCAATTTAATACATAAATATCATCACTAAAATATCAAACCTGGATACATTGTGTAAAACAAATTTATTTTCATTAATTATTATATATACAGTATTTAATTACGAAATAAATATACAACTTTATAAACATTTAAACAATTCATTGTGTATAACTCCTATATTGTACATACAGGATGAGTTTGTAGAATGTACAATTTCTAATTTTTGCCTCATTTTCCATGATATTACATAATATATTTTACAGGAAAATTCAAATATATTGAAAAATATTTGGTATTTAATAATTTAACTATGCTATATACTATGTAATGTTGCTACCACAAAATAGTAATATTTTCTTCTCTGAGTTTACATATAATATATTAGTTATATACTTTCTTTTTATTGACAGTTATTTTAAAAGTAAATATGAACATTGATTTTTAATGAAACAATAAGAAATGGAATAATTTAGTACAATGATCTTTTAGTTAATGTTACATGTACTTAAATTTGTTCTACCTAAATATTGACTATAATTCTCTAAATTAACTAAACAGAGAAGCTTTCTCCACATCCACAAGTTCCTTTGATATTTGGATTATTAAAAATAAATTCAGAACTTAATTTAGTTTCTACAAAGTCCATTTCAGTACCTAACAAAGATAACTGTGCCTTTTTATCTATCATGATGCGAACACCATCTTGAACAACTTCTTCATCGAATTTCGATTTTTCTTTGGTGTAATCAAGAGTGTAACTAAGGCCATTACATCCTCGCTGCTTCACACTGACTTTTAGACCAATCTGAAATATGAAACAATTTTTAAATTATGTGATTCTGAAAATATATTTATTTAATTATCTTATATTAGAAAATGTTATATAAATTACTAATAGTTTCACCATTTATAACTCTTCAATAGTAATTCTTGACTCTTTGACTATTGCTACTTTTAATAGTATTCATTTAATTGAAATACTTGATTTAATTTATACATGCAATATGATAATTTTGTTTATGTAAAAACAATACAAAATTTAATTTGTATAGAGAGAAAACAAGGTATTTCTTTTTTAGTTTAAATACATATAAAGTATATATACTATTTGATTATTTCATTTTATGACTTTTATGAATAGAACACACTATCAACTTTGAAAAATGTATTTTACTGTTCAATTATTATAAAATAATCTAAATATAAAACATTTAATATGAAACATAAAAATAATATAACTTTACATTTGTACAGAACTCTATATAACTTAATAACTATGTAATGTAAAATTATAAAATGTAAAAATTTACTTTAGATTAATGTTTATGTAAGGTGTATAATTGTTTTTCAATAGTACACAGTACTAAATAATGTTATGATAATAACATGAAACACAGAATTTCACTGTCAACTGACATAATATTAGCTAAACACAGAGTCACACCTAAGCAAAAATAAAAAACCATTGTTTCCTGACAATTTAGTACATATAGTAAAATAATTGAATGTGCTTTTTGTATTAGTATATGTATTACGCACTGCATCTGTTAATTATGCATTGAAATAAATACAATGTTTTAAATACTTTATAATAAATCTGGAGATATTAAAAGAAAATATATCACATTTACTCACATATTCGCTTTTATCTTTCAATAACTCCTTGATTTTCTTCACTGCGTTTGGTGTCTATAACAAAGTAATAGCAGAATAAATTAAAAAAGAAAATTATTAATTTTAAGTATATATAGGAAAAGTATATATAGGAAATGAAGAAGATAATTAAATGTTTATTT